CACAACTGCAAGAAAAATGACAGGTTGGATAACAAGAACTTTTCACACTAGAGATGCTATATACCGATGATGATACTTTTCAAAACGCTTGTGCTCTCTAGAGTGGAGTACTGCTGCACAATGACAGCACCTTTCAAAGCTGGAGAAATTGCTGACCTGGAGAGCGTGCAGAGATCCTATACTGCTAGAATCCACTCAGTAAAACATCTAAACTATTGGGACCGACTAAAGAGCCTAAAACTGTACTCCCTTGAGCGCAGTCGGGAGAGGTACATAATAATTTACACGTGGAAAATATTAGAGGGGCTGGTCCCAAACCTGCACACAGAAATAACATCACATGAGACCAGAAGACATGGCAGGATGTGCAGAATACCCCCGTTGAAAAGCAGAGGTGCAACAGGTACTCTGAGAGAGAACTCTATCAACATCAGAGGTCCGAGACTGTTCAACACGCTTCCACTACACATAAGGGGCATAACTGGCCGACCCCTCACAGTGTTCAAGAGAGAACTGGATAAGCACCTCCAAAGGATACCTGATCAACCAGGCTGTGACTCATACGTTAGGATGCGAGCAGCCGCGTCCAACAGCCTGGTTGATCAGTCCGGCCACCAGAAGGCCTGGTCAACGACCGGGCCGCGGGGACGCTAAGCCCCGGAAGCATCTCAAGGTAAGGTAACCCAAAATCATTTACGTCCTCTAATTACTCAACACAAAGCTGCTATTAGGACAATATCCAACTCTGGCCCCAGACATCACTCGGTACCCCTACTCAAATCTCTGAATATGTTAGATATTAAGTCACTGCACATTCTCTCATGTGTATTATACATATATAAAACGCTAAACTGTAATGCCAATCCTGACCTCAAAAGCTTCATAGAAGGCTGTAACAGAACCCATGAGCACCACACCAGAAATAAATACAGTTTTGATATTCCTAAAGTACGACTTAATCAAACTAGAAATGCTCTACAAATCAAGGGACCCAGAATTTATTTATTTATTTATTTATTTATATATATACAAGAAGGTACATTGGGTTTGTGAGAATACATTGGATAGTACAGTATTTACATTCTTGTAAAGCCACTAGTACGCGCAGCGTTTCGGGCAGGTCCTTAATCTAGCAGATAATTTTAAGTATGTAATTTCTGTAGCGAGTAGATTATCCCAATAATAAACTCGCTCCAAATGCATTGTTAATATTCCTGTCAACCTTTGGAGATGAATGAGGTGAGGCGTTGCCCGGGCAACACGGTGAGGTGTTGCCCGAGCATATAAGCAGCAGAATAGCAAACATTAACCAGAGTCTACTTTCAAGTGTGGTCTAGAGCAGACACTTGCGAGATACTGTACCGACGCTCAGTGCGCTCAACTCACACTAAAGTGTCACCGGTGTACTTCTGTATATTCGACCAAATATATATATAGTATCTTAGTGTCTGTGTTTATTTGTCACCATACTTTACGTAACAATAGAACTGTTACATTTCTATCAGAATTGTTAAATGATAAGATACATTGCATGAGAAAAATGAGATGAGAGAGCTTAGTAAGTATATTAAAGCACATTGTTATATTAAAGCTCTGATTGATTACATTGACAGCTTGATTAGTAATTTAAACAAGATTAATAGACACCATACAGCAGATTGACAGCACATATAAGACAGCAATGATCACAATGGTGAAGATGTTCAGATTGGGTACATAAAGATTGGGAGACTGGGTAGCAAAAGATACAGATAAACAAGATTTATAAACACCATACAACAGATTAGCAGCACATATAAGAAGACAGCAATGATTAGACAGCAGCAAGCAAGACAGCAATGATCATTATGCTCAATTAGTATTAAGCTTGTCATTTAAGTTTGTCATGCCCGAAACGCTTTGCGTAATAGTGGCTTTAGGCATTGTATGTACTAGCTCTACCTATAAGTCAACCATTCCTTGTAAAAATTTATTGTATGTATGTACCTTACCTAAATAAAATTGTATTGTATTGTATTGTATTGTATTGTATTACAATGGTAAAGATGTTCAAATTGGGAACATAAAGGTTGGGAGATTGGGTAGCAATAGATACAGTGCAATTTTAAGGCAAAAAGTGAAAAACTATGAAGATGAAATTAGGTACTTTTTAGTATTGATTTTGAATGATGTAAAAGTTGGACAGCTTTTCAATTCAGTAGGGAGTGAGTTCCATAAACTGGGTCCCTTTATTTGCATAGAGTGTTTACACAGATTAAGTTTAACTCTGGGGATATCGAAGAGATATTTATTTCTGGTGTGGTGATAATGGGTCCTATTACATCTGTCCAGGAAGAGTTTCAGACAAGGATTTGCATTGAAGAACAGGGTTTTGTAAATGTAGTTGACACAAGAGAATTTATGGAGTGAGATTATGTTTAGCATGTTTAGGGAGTTAAACAAGGGGGCTGTGTGTTGTTTGAAAGCAGAATTTGATATTATTCTGATAGCAGATTTTTGCTGGGTGATGATGGACTTGAGGTGGTTTGCAGTGGTTGAACCCCATGAATGTGGAATGTGGAATGTGGCATGACCTTCCCAGCCATGTTAAAGACTGTACCTCTCTCAACCAGTTTAAGATAAAAACGAAGCTATACCTAATAAATTCCCTGTAACCTACCTTACCCCTCTATTGTCAACCAATATGTCTGTTCTTTTTTTTAAATGACGCTGTTTGTCGACAGAATTGTATTTGTGCTGCTTTTTCAGCCATGTTCCCCCCTTTTTATCTCTTTTTTTATTTGTTCTCAACTCATTTTATTCTTTATGCTCAATTAGTATTAAGCTTTAGTCATTTAAGTTTTTCATGCCCGAAACGCTTTGCGTAATAGTGGCTTTGGGCATTGTATGTACTAGCCCTATCTATAAATCCATCACTCTTTGTAAAATCTCCTGTATGTATGTACCTTAAATAAATAAACATTTGATTTGATTTGATTGATTTGATAGCAGAATCAGAGGCTGAAAACTGACCATCGTTTTTTGACAGGAGTGTTGGTTTGTTATTTAAAATCTTCTTTGATCCCAATATTTGTGAAATTGTGCTCCATGTTTTTTTAATGTTGCCCTTTGCGTGGGTAAATTTATCTTCGTAGTATTTAGTTTTGGCTCTTCTAATTATTTTAGATAGCAATGATGAGTAATTCTTTGAAAATTCTTTGGAGACGATTCCTAACCAATACTTCTTCTCAAGGTCATGTTTTTTATTAATGGATTTAAGTATTCCCTTTGTAAGCCATGGATTGTTTAGCCTTTTAGTTGTGACTTGTTTCGTTAGCATAGGACAGTGGGTGTTATAAAAGCTGAGAGTTTTTTGAAGAAAAGATTGCACTGCTAGGTTGATGTCCACTATGTTACCTAATTCGGACTCCCAGTTGATATTAGCGGCAGCAGCTATAACATTGCTTATAGCAGTTTCATTGTGCAACCTAAAGCTTATCTCTCTTGTCTCTAGAGGTGGTTTGGTAATGTTAGTTAAGAGAAATGTGGGGTAATGGTCTGTAGTGCTATCGATGATTATCCCTGAAGTAAGCGGAGAGGTTATGTTGATCCAGATGTGATCTAGAGTTGTAGCAGTACTATCAGTGATTCTAGTAGGTCTAGTGATTAAGGGTATGAGGAAGCAGGAATTCATACAGTTGAGAAAACTAGCAGCAGTAGGGTTTTCAGGCTCGCAGAGGTCAATATTAAAGTCCCCTGCGATAATTAGATGGTTTTTGATCAGTCTGTTAGTATTAGATTTCTAAGGTTAGAATTGAATTCGGACACATCAGTGTTAGGAATTCTATAGACAACTGCCACAGTCAGGACAGACTCAACACCCTTGACTCTGAAACTGGCGAAGATATACTCCCCACAGCAGTCTCTAGTTCTAATTACTTTTAAGCATGTCAGTTCTTGGTGGTAGTAAAGAGCAGTACCACCACCTCTGAATTGGTCGACAGTTGTGAATTACTGAGTAGTTTGGCATGTTAAAGAGTTGAGTAGTATCCTCTTTTAACAATGTTTCAGTAAGTATAATAAAAGAGAATTTGTTGCCAATAGTTTCAATCAAGGCACTAACATCATCGAAGTGTTTGCTTAGAGATCTTACATTTAAGTTAATTACAGTATATTGTGATTATGTGTTAATACATTGTTTACATCATGTGCTGTAGAATATCTACAATTTTGATCATTAAAGTGCTGATTGTCATAGATACTGGATAAGAGGTTTAGTTCTGGGTCTATACTTGTTTGCATAAGAAGGCTGGTTGTAGATATCAACGTCTATTGTCTCGTTTTGGTAATAATAATTACTAATTTTGGTAATAATAATTTGGTATAACAATATATTTGGTAAAATAATAATTTTGGTAATATTAATTACTAATTTTGGTAATAATAATTGCCCGAAACGCTATGCGTACTAGTGGCTTTAGATATTTTATGTACTAACTCTGTCTATAAATCCAACATTATGTTTATGAATCAACTATGTATGTACTTTCCTGAATAAAATTTACTTTACTTTACTTTACTAATAGTGTCTTGTAAGACGAGAACAGCAGCGAACACCAACGAGCGCATATGTTTATACGAAAGAGTTACTATATACAAAACTTGTTAGTGAAAGAACTTGTTTCTGGTGTTAACCGACGGTATACGAAACGGCAGTAGTCGATTTGACCAGTCCCCGTCGGCAGGTGAGGGGAGTGAGGGAGCCAGGAGAGGGGAGTGAGGGAGCCAGGTGAGGGGAGTGAGGGAGCCAGGTGAGGGGAGTGAGGGAGCCAGGTGAGGGGAGTGAGGGAGCCAGGAGAGGGGAGGCAGGTGAGGGGGAGTGAGGTGGGCAGGTGAGGGGAGTGAGGGGGCAGGTGAGGGGAGTGAGGTGGGCAGCTGAGGGGGAGGCAGGTGAGGGGAGTGAGGGGGAGGCAGGTGAGGCGGAAGGAGCTGTGGCTGGGAGCAGAGACCCGCTGGTCAGTACTATTTATATATGGCGTATTTTGGCGTGGCGGTGCACACTGGCATATTACCCCGCGCTGCCACACACCTCCTGCACCACCACACTTGTAAACGTGTACCATATTCAATTATATACTTAGAAAGCTGTAAAAGTGCACGTAACTTGTATTACAATAATATGTCATCAGAGTTGACGCTTGTGTCTCCCGATACATATATGTATTTATATATATGTGTGTGTATATACACCACACAAACTTGAGAGTATGTTATATGTTCATGAAAATAGACATACTAATAATTGTGAGCGACACGTGTTAGGGCCTAACTTAAATTAATATATTGTGAACTCCATAGGCCTACCCATCTTGTGAACTGGTGGAAAGGTAAAGAGCATGTTAATTGGCCTAAAACCCCAGCAGCATTCCTTTAGGTATGCCAGTTACAACACTGATGAGCCTGTTATATACATTGGCAGTTTATTCCTAGTTTATTGAGTGTGGCAAGATAAGAGTACCACCAGTCCAGGTACTGGTGTCTGTGCTGCCCCAGGATGAGTCAGGATGAGTCAGGATGAGTGCAGGTCACTTTGGACCCAAGATGGTTTGCCAACAAATTTTAAAACCTACCTTAATCCCACGATTTAACATTATTATTGTATATATAACCAGGCTGCGGTCACCCCTTGGCTGAACGGCTGAATGCCCTGCCCTGGTGACACTATTACTCTCTCATCTATCCTTATCTCAACTATGGTATTTGTGCTTGGGGCTCTACTACCCAAAATCATTTACGTCCTCTAATTACTCAACACAAAGCTGCTATTAGGATAATCTCTAACTCTGGCCCCAGACATCACTTGGTACCCCTACTCAAATCTCTGAATATGTTAGATATTAAGTCACTGCACATCCTCTCATGTGTGTTTCATATATATAAAACGCTGAACTGTAATGTCAATCCTGACCTTAAAAAGCTTCCTAGAAGGTTGTAACAGATCCCATGAGCACCACACCAGAAACAAATACCTATTTGATATTCCAAGAGTACGACTTAGTCAAAGTAGAAATGCTTTACCAATCAAGGGACCTCGAATGTGGAATGACCTTCCCAATTATGTTAAAAACTGTACCTCTCCCAACCAGTTTAAGATAAAAACTAAGTACTACCTAATTAACTCAATGTAAACTACCTCACCCCTAAATGTCTACCCATGTCTACAATTTTAAACAATGCTATTTGTTGACCAAATTGTATTTTTGCTTTTTTATCTGCCATGTTCCCCCCCCCTTTTTTTCTCATTTTTTTTTATTGTTTCTAGACACAATTTATACTTTAATATCAATTAGTATTAAGTTTTAGTCTTAGTGTTTTTCCTGCCCGAAACACTTTGCGTAATAGTGGTTTAGGCATTGTGTGTACTAGCTCTATCTATAAATCCATCAACTTTTGTATCTCACCTTGTATGTATATACTTTACCTGAATAAATATTTGTATTTGTTTGTAACATTCAGGTCACACCATTGGTGGGGTCTGGAGTCCTGTTAGCTTTACCAAAGGTCTCTAGTAAAATATCAGACTCTCCACAGGGTCACCTACTCAGTTATTGGCCTGACCAAACAATACTTATCTGAATGATTTATTTATTTATTTATTTATTTATTTATATACAGTACAAGAAAGTACTTTGGGTTTATGAGAGTACATAGCATTGCTGTTTTTACATTGTTGTAAAGCCACTAGCACACATAGCACTTCGGGCAGGTCCTTAATCTAACATAATTTTAAGTAGGTGATTTCTAGCAAAATTGATTTTTTTTTAACAACAGTGATGAATTCATCATTCATCATACTATAGTTAGGTAATACTGTACCTCTCTAGGTTCACAGTGCACTTATTTAAGCTGGATTGGGTTATTTGATTGTCTTTTGGTAATTCTTTGGGTCTATTAGGTAGCCTAGCCTAATTTTTTTTAATAAAGCCCAATCTTTTGTTTCTGATTTAAGCACTTATTTCTGAATAGGTAAAATGAACTAGTCATCTTACCTGAGCTGTTAGATCAAGGACCTGCCCAAAATGCTATGCATGTTAATGGCTTTGCAAGCTTGTAAAAATACTAATATTATGTAATCTCACAAACCCATTGTACCTTATTGTAAATAAATAAATAAATAAATTATTGACTAGTATTGTTTATTTTTTATATATATAATATGGGTAAACATTGCTCTGATATGTTGAATAAACCATATTGTAGGAAGCCCAGTCCTCTCATCAGTAATTTAACAAATGTCTGAATAACAATCTATTTATCTAACTTGAGTAATGTGGCTTCATTGGACATAAGCCCATGAGACAGATCACTGTTAGGATATAGTACAGTATAAGGATATAGTACACTATAATGTAGGATAATATAACTGAAATTTTAAAATCAACGCTGATTTTCTGTTGCCAGTTCCCAATATCTGGGACAGGATGACTGCTATGCTTATGGAGGTCCCTCAAGTCTAGGCATATGACTGACATTCCCCAGGAAGGAACCCACAACAGTTGCATAACTCCTGGGTACCTATTTACAGTATTGCCACATAAACAAAGATATCAGATGAAAGGAAACATGTCCAAGTGTGTCTGTTCTGTGCAATAATCAAATCTAGAGCTTTTAATTGTGAACTGACTACACTGTCCACTGCAGTACACACTCCACAAGGACCCGCATACAAAGAGTGCAGTGCCTCCAAAGTACCGTCTCCAAAGAGTGCAGTGCTACAAGGGTTTTTGTCCAAACAGTCCAGTGCCCTTGAGAGCTTGAGTACAAATAGTGCAGTACACTTATGTGTAAAGTGAGGTTTAATTATAATCTGGAATGTGACTTGGTGTTCTCTATATCTTTAACACTCTGAATTGCAATGCCAATCCTAACCTTCTAGGAAGCGCTAAAGGTCAGGATTGGCATTGCAATTCAGAGTGTTATAGATATAGTGAACACTTGAGAGTAAGTGCAGAGATTTAATATTTAACACGTTCAAGGATTCAGTAAGGGAGCAGAGTGAATTATGTGACTTGGCAATAGTGATATACAGTATTTGTGTGATGTATATGTACTACAACCTTAAAATTCCAGACCTCTGTATAACGGATTTCCCAAAATAATGTACATATTTGCCTTTAGATCTTCCCTCCAAATTTTGATTTCTCTGGAAAAGTTTGAAAGCCATAACTCCTAAATTATTAATTTAGTTCCCAAGATATTTAGCATGTGAACATGTCCATAAACAAAATTTTACGCTTAGGGAAAAAGTGGATGGTTTTGGTTTTATGAAGTTCATATAGTTACCGGTAGTTTTAATTTTGAAAGCAAAAAATTATGTATAGTGTCTCATATATCCTTAGAAACAATACATTGCAATGTTTATTCAAAAGAATGTGTACACAGGACATAGGAGTAATGTACATGTTGTGGGGACAGGAGTTACATAATCAATGAAGCCACTGTTATGCAAAGCGTTTTGGGCAAAAACATAAAAATAGACAAAAAAAATTAACAAATGTGTGAAGGGGTAAGGCACTTAATACTAAAGAAGAAATAAGCAAACAAAGTGAGAATGTTTATAGAAAATAACAAATGAATGCACAAAAGGTGACACATAAGGATGAGAGGCAAGACTAGTACAATATGGAGTCAGTAGTAGTAGCAATAGTACAGTACTGTACTGTAGTTTATTTACAGTAGTAACAGAAAAGAAATACAGGGTGCATTGTAGTTAAGAAAAGTAACTGGACTCTTTCTCGTAACATTTTGTTTGGAACATAACAGAACATAAACTAATATAGTAAGATAAGGTCAATGGGACCAACATTGAAAATGAATAAGGAACATAAAGGACATGAGTAATCACTTTAATAAAGAAATACAAGAAGTTAGACGACAGTACATGCAGAAAGTACATAATACTCAGTAAATACAAATTTAAGACAAGAGTAACACAAAAATAATTTATTATAAGGGAAAATGTGAGTGAAACTAGTTGCATGGAACTGATTATAGGATAATAATCAGTGGTACAGTACTGCTGGAGCTCGCTGGAGCGCCGCTCCAGCACCTCTGCAAGATGGATGATGGAATGATCACTCTGGCTTGTTGCAACTTCAAAAGCAAAATGGTGTTGACATTGTAATAGGACTGCATTCCCACACTAGTGCCACAGAGATAATTAATCACATAGCCATTAATATGAAAATAAAAGTTGCCAGCATATCAAGCAGATAAATTGCAAAATTTCTGTTCTCATTCATGAATCAACAAGCCTGAGCATTAAAACAACTTTGATAGTTTACTTGAAATGTGAAAGTGATAAGAAAGGTAATCTCCATTTCATGTTCTTAGATGTAATTGAACTTCCCAATCAGAAAGCAGCAACTATTGCTAGGTATCTATTGAACTGTCTCAATTATCATGGGTTTGATGACTTATATGTGAAACAGAGCCTTGCAGCATTTGCTAGTGATGGGGCAAGTGTCATGCTTGGTGTCAAATCTGACGTTGCAACAGTTTTCAAAGAACATTACCCTGATATAATAATCTGGCACTGTCTTAATCACAGATTAGAACTTGCAGTAAGTGATTCAGTGAGAGAAGTTCATGGAATTCATAATTTTCAAGCATTTATGGACAAATTGTACTCAGTTTACAGTTGATCACATCTAGATCAAAAGGAACTATCTGAATGTGCCTCTAACCTGTTTACAAGTTATTCCTATTAGTACTGCTGAGTGTGAGAGGGGGTTCAGTCACATGAACCTGATAATTAACAAACATCCTCCTCAAGAATTCTCATAAATCATGTTTCAGCACTTACGTTTGTTAAAACTGCATGAACCTCCTCTAGTTCAATGGAATCTTGAGCCATATGCCATATCATGGCTGTGGCACATGACATCAGGACAAGAGTTGCTTCACTTCCCCCAAAACATCTCACACTTGACCCTTTGTGGAAACTTTTGTGAAACTTCTCACTGGTTGTATTTTGTGGGCATTAAGTGTTTGAGTTTTTTAATTGATAAATTCATGATTGATGTTTTTTCTTTATTTGTTTGATAAT